TTGAATCTAACACAAAAAATACAATGCAATGTCAGCAACAGTAATATCAAAGAGTTAACACCTTAGTGAAGTCTCCAGTTAACATCAGTCTTGAAATTAAGGTAGCCGCCATAGCCTATATGGACAAATGATCTTCACAACAGACACGCTGTTGGGGATTTTCATTTTCCTGTGTTTCCAGGAAACAAACAGATGTGTCCATCTGTATGACATAGTAATGGCCGGAGTCCCTGCCAACGGGGACTGACGTGTGACAGCCATGTGTGTACCATTCCTCCCCATGTGTCTTTTTGTGTCTCATCTCCATCTTGTTGCCTTCAGGGAGACTTACAGCATTGACAGGTTCAATAATGACACTTTCGAAAGTAGGCTTTTTTAGACCTATGCATTGAGCTTCATACAGTAAAATAGTAGGAAAAAAAACACAAATGCAGACACACATTATCAGTCACAGCCTCAGGGAAAGTGCCACTCATTCACACAGGCAAAACAGTGGAGCCTACAGGGAGACATGAACCTCAAGGACCAGCTGTGTGCAAAAAAAGTAGAATGCATATTAAAAGTGAAAAAAGATTTTGTCTAGCTTGTAATACAAATATGTACACAGCTAAGTACTTTGCTAGTGTATATTGAAGCCTCTCACTTGATTGCTGCTTCCTCTCCTGAGTGATTACACTGGCTGTAATGGATGAGTTCTCTTCTATTATGTCTATAAGTGATTAATTTTGTCCATAAGAGATGTGATGAGGAGTCTCCTTCCTCTCCTTGTCTGTTGATAATGAAGACCTCTGAAGTCTGTAATAGTCAACCGTGTAAGATGTTTATGAAAGGGGAAGAAAGTTTGTAACCATGGAGGAAGCCATAACAAGTTGATATACAACACATATTATGCTTTATTGTCACCAGGCAGCATAGGGAGTATGATTTAACCTGTTTTAGTCCAGCATTGTCTTCTCCCAGAGAGACCAGTAATAAGGGCAGCACTTATCATGTGTTGCCTCCAGCCACTACCACCTCCACTGGAGCAGCTCACTCAGAGGGAGAGGGGAGAGCCCACCAGTGTTGAGAAGTAATTAATCACCATGGAGTGGGAGCTGTCAAATCCCCAGGTCTTCTGAACTGATAACGCTGCCCACCACAATTTAGCCTGATGGAGATGAGATTTTCTTTTCACCTCTGGCAAGAAAGAGACAAATAAAGTGGGGGAGAAAAATAGAAAAGAGCAAAAGAGGGAGAGCAGCAAATATATTTTTTGAACAACAGCAGGCAGTTGTGTACTTAATGATTGCTTTGCTCCTCTTAAACCTGACGTCCTTATCAAGTCTAAGTGTCCCGATCAATACGTTTCCTCTCCGGCATTCCTGAAATAGCTCACACATCAGCTCTCTACAGCAACCGCCCGCCGCCCCTGTACTCTCCCTCTCTCTGTTACGGCACCATCTGTTATTATAGCCTGATCGCTTTCTCTGCCAGTCAGAAGAAATAGTCAATATTTGTTCTGTTACAAAAGTTATGCCTATTGCTATGCACTTTCAACCTCAATGTTAGTGCATGAGAACGGATTTTGTCAGCTAACTGCAGTAGTTACCAACTGGGGATGTCAATAATAGCTGTCATGCTTTGCTATAAATCAAAACAAAATTTGAAATCACACTTTTTATTATTACTTATTTTACCCTAAATGTTCAATTTCACACAGCTTTTGTTGAAACATGAACAGGGACAAAATGTGCTTTGAATATAAAAACAGAACCTCAGGGCAAATAAACAATTTTTCAAGGATTCTGTCTGTAGAGATTTACCTCTGTTCAACATCTTATCAGGTTGTAAACTGATAATAATACAAGAAACACAAAACTTTAAAAGTTAAATTGAACAAACAGCAAATCTTGGTGTTTGATGTGCCTCCCCTGTTTTTCTTTGGTCAAGGTGCCCTCCAAGGTGCCAGAGTTCATGACCTCTGGTGGTATGTTTGCAAAACTAAGAGAAGGTGCTAAGAACTAGTTTTAACAAAAGGCTGGATTGGACATAGTATCTGCCTTACAGCCAGACATTGGAATGTTTTCTTACACTTTTAAAAGCACATTTCTGTCCAGGTTTATTAGGGTATTCAGTGTCAGGACCAAATCACCATGTTGTCTGTCCAGAATCCGGAAGCTGAAGAGCCTGCAAATAGAGTAAAGGCCATACAGTCAGACACAGAAGAGAGACAGCTGTGCTCACTGAAAAAAATAATTCAACCGTGTTTTGCATTTACTTAATCATATTTAGTTGCTTTAACAGAGTTGTTTCATGTTAGCAGGGTTGGACATACAACAATTGTGTTAAAGTAACTAAATATGATTAAGTAAATGCCAAAAATGGATGCAGATTTCTTTATTTTTATCAGATTCACTGGGTAGGGTGTTCAACTGTTATAATTGCATTGTATATAAAGTTCTCCGAACTGCATGCTTTAATCTATTCTTTAATTGTCCTGATATTTGCAACACACATATTTCAGATTGCTTTTTAACTTTGCACAAGTTACAAGGGCAAGAGCTGTATTATTTTATTGAGTTAAAGGTATAAATAAAGATGTAATTATGAGTAGTGCAGCTATACAATGTTCAGCAACTTTTAGATATCTCTGTTCGATGGCTCGTTATTTCTTGGTCAACACATATAACCTTTATGCCAAGAGGTTGCCTGAGGTTCAACTTTTAGGTGTCTCTGTTCGATGGTTAGGATATCAGCCAATCACATGGCAGAAACTCAATATATTTACAGATCTAGATTAAGTCAATGATGCTAAATTATTAAGGTTCAAAGTAAAAGTAAAAAGAGTACTGAAAGAAGAATATTTTCTGTAGAGCATGGTTTTTAATACCTGGTCAAGTTAGGAATTAATTATGAACCATCTTTTGCGTTACCAGGTAATGGTTCAGAAAGAGAACATATGTTAAGGAAAGAATATTGGTAAGGTATTGGTTTGGGATTATAGAAAGGTTCAAAAAGTCCCTCAAATAACCAGACATCACAACCAATACCTCCTCTAAATGGTCAAAACATATAACTTTCATGCCAAGAGGTTGCCTGATTAAAGGAGTTCTAGGAGTTTAATTGTGGTACTCAGTTGTTGGGATTAGGATCATGAAAAAATAAAACAATTGACATGTTGCTATGATTCTTGAATCACAGAAAGTTTGGTTGTCCTAGAAAAGGTGCACCAGGGAGGCTCAGATTGGATCGTTCTGGGGAAGAGACACAATCAGTTATGTGGCTACAGGAGGAATCTTAGGTGATAAGAGAAGGTTGTGCAGTCCTTACGGTTCTCATATGCCGGGAATTGTTTGGGGGGGAATTAAAGACATCCAGGCAGGATGGGAATTCGGTTGGGCTGCAGCGCACAAATACTGATTTACTCTATCTTTCTTTACTTACACAGAGGGAGTGTTGATGAGTAGACAGGCAGGTGAGCGCTTAAGGATGGATCCAGGAAGCAGCGGGGGAGACGGACTTGGAGTCAGTGCGAATGGAACGAGAGGAAAACAAGGAAGGTGAATTTTCAACAAGAATATACAAAATTAAAGGGGATAGCAGGTAAGTTACCACAGTGCAGAAGTTAACCAACTGGCATCCGTCCTGGGAAATCCACTCCTCTAAATTCTGCCTCCTGACTGCAGTGAAGTGGCATCAGCTAGGAGCTCATCCTGCCAAAACACACCCTGGGGAGGAGACAGGTAAAGCACTTAGACCCACAACTAAGTTAACAACAATGGGACAACCCTGCCACTTTTTTTGGTTGTGCTATCGGTAATATGGGGATATTGATTTGTAACATATGTCCACATAGTACTAAAAAAGCAACATTCGACATGACACTTTCTGACCAAATCAAACTCATACACTTGTTGTTACCTACCATAATTTGTGTCTTGAGCATGATCTCACCATTCTTTAATGGCCTGCAGAGTCAACAACAGAGTCAGCAGTGGAGCAAGTATAGGATTTTGGTGAAACGAAGGTTCAAATAATGTATGTGCACTTATAAATCTGCCGTAACTACAATTTCTCAGGAATATTTCCTCAACCTATGCCACAAAGACATAATTCTGTTTTGAGGAAGAACTGTAATCTAACCAGGTACTTGAAAGAGACACCCAATAAAGCTCTACTTGTGTAGAATTTCTTATAACAATAGATTTTTTCTCATTTTAAATGTATTTGGTTAATACTACAGCTTTTTTTCCTTTCCTGACTCTGCTACTAAATTACCATGTCAACATGACAATCCTATTGACATTGGAGATGTTTTTTTCCCTTTGTCCTGACTTCACACTTTGAAGGTAGAAACTTCACCGATGGAGAACAGGTTCCCTTTTTATTGCCGTGACATATAGTCAATACTCAATATAGTTCTCAACGGCCTGAGGCCCAGTAGCAGTCACTTGTGTATAAAGAGTGTCAGCGAGTTATTTTGACCCCCTACTGTAATCATGACCTTTTCAATAACACAACTCCCCCACAGAGTCTCATTCCCCAAAGGGTACTCCAACTCGGGGGCCAAACTGCATTACCGCCAGTCGGCATTCACAGCTCAGCAGCTTCTAAACAAGCTACTGTTGACACACACTGAAGCACACATCCACTTGCTGTATGTACAGGATGCATTGCAAGGACAATAAATAGCTCACCAGCACACGCTCAAACCCGCGCATGCCACACATGCACTAGCACAGACTTAAAACAGACATTCATCTGCAGAGGAGCAAGGCTTGGATATTTAGCTGAAGGGAACATAACGTGTAACCAGTGATATCATGCATAAATGAAAGGGAAAATGATATGGCATGCATTTCATTCTTTTGTAAGATTGCGTCCTCAGGTCATTGACTAAATAATTAGGCGATTGAAGTGACAGATTAAAGGCAGATTGGAAGTGACTGTGAAAGCAGGATAATGTTTCCCTAATCAGCTTGGTTGGAGAAATGCAGATTGTGAAATTTTCCAGCTACTTCCTTAGAAAAATGCATTTCACTTCTGATTAGAGATGATTAGTGTGCTGGTGGAGAAGGAGGGGTCAGGGCCTTGTGATCTTGGGTTCCTGAGGACAGAGCTGAAGTTTTGAGGAAGGGAGAGAGGCTGGGGCCATAGGTGGAGTGCCAGCAAACATACGTAAGGAGTTGTGCCTGGAAATGATGAAGCTGGAAAGAGTTAGACAAAATACCAAAAAAAAAATCCATACTTCCTTGCTAAAGAAGGATGATTTAGGAGTAGATAAGCTTTTAAAAGAAGAAAAGATCACATAAGAGGAAGCATGGGATTGCTCTCTGTCCTGTCTCATAAGGCAGGAAATAGCAACGTGAGCTCCTCTTATCACAGCATTTGAACTGGTGGATCATTTATTTGGTGGGCCAGGACAAATATGCCAGATTTATAATGGTTACAAAGTTACAATGTGTAGTCCACTCCAGTTATACGGGGATAATAGTTTCTGAGCAACAGCACGGCAGAAGGTTAAATGCAGAACAGATGTAAAGTGTAAAATACAACAAGATCAAAGCTTAGGCACTCAAGACAGATACGAATTCAAATGATGATGAATGACTCTCTGTAGATTTGTAAAGTCTACACAAATGTAGCAAACTGCAAAGGTGGGAGATGTGGTGGGGGCTGCAGTGAGGGGGTGGAGTGGGGTAGACACCAAGGAGCAAAAACATTGTCCAAACTCATTGAAATGATCTGTTGCAGAAGGGCCCCACGATTAAGTTCCTACAGCAAGAATCACAGTTTGGAAAATGTGTAATTGATTTCCCCAAAGGCTCAGAGAGCACCCTTAGTGATCCCTGGGATAGCCTCCCCTGTGAAAGTTTGCTTTTCTCCCAGGCTTGCGGACACAACTGAATGACATCATCAGCTTGTGCACATTTTTACTTTTATCTCTGAAAGATATATTATCCATGTGCAGCGCTCCTGCAAGTGGAGATCAAAGGCAGCACTCTTTCAGGCGGCATATTAAAGTGGAACACAGTTTTGCAACAGAAAAAAAGGTATGTTTATTTCAAGTTTGATTCAGGTACTCATCTTGATTTCACAATAATACACAACTCACCCCGACTACGGTGCTTTTAGACAGAAAAAACAAAAAAAAAAACAACTCTGGTCGTCTATTGCTGGTGATGAAACAAGCAAATAAAAAAAAGAAAATAACGAATAAAAAACTGTGTGCATCTGAAAGATTACAATTTATTGTAGTTCTTTTTTGTAAAAACAACCATGCAGATGCTTTTTATTCAACCGCAGTCATTTCACCCATGTTACAGCTTAGGCATATCAGCCAGACTCTTGCTCAGATTTCTTACACCTTTACCAGCACACACACAAACCTGAAAACAGACATGCTGCTTAAAGCGTTGAAGCCTTGTCCACGATGATCTTTGGCTTGCTTGAAGCTGGTCGTCACGCTCAGAGGGAAACCAGACATTGGGACACATGTTTGTCCGCTCCTAAATGAAGTGTGACCACGGCGCACCTCTGAAGCAGGGGTTTGGTTGGGGGCTAATATGGGGTTTGACAGCAGGGGGGCGCTGTGATAATTTGATGTGAACTAGCTTGATAAATCACTGTGTTGTTACCTTTGCTTTAGTATCTGTTTATGTCTCTACAAATTGAAACCCCACTGGCACAAGGCTGAGGCAAAGATGTACCCTGGCCCCCAGCGATTAGTTCAAGGTGGGGAGAGTTAAGATGGCTGGCCCTCATTGGCCATCTACGTCTTGCTGTTTTGTCTCTCCCTGCTGAGGGAGAAAGCCGTGGACATGTGTAAGCAATAAAGCCAAAGGTCTGCCTTTCACCACAGCCTGAAAGAAAGGAATGCAGAACCAAACTATAAAATAATAATGGGCACTAGTGAAGAGAAGGAGCAGTAACGGGATGCAGTAGGAAATGGGGGGGTAAAAGAGACACACAAAGAGTGTTAAGGTGGGGTTGAGTCCTAAAGTAGAGCTCTCCTCTGACCTCTGGATGTGCTGTTAAAGGCAGAGCGTAGCAAGCTGCCCAGACTGGCACCACATCAAAAGGCTGACAGATGAAGGGCAAAGACCAGTTTGACCTGGGCGCTAAGCTGCTGCTAAGCCTCTTAAAGCCATAGGAGAGGTGCAGCAAAAAGGAGAAAGTAAGAGAGGGAAGGGAGTAAGTGAGACTAAGAGTAAGAAATATCATTCGCAACTCCTTCCTCCTTTGTAATAATCAAAGGAAGGATGAAAAAAGGCGGTCGTGTAGACAGTAAATACAGATGCACAGAAGTCAGAAGAGATAACATTAAATACCTCATGTGAAACCACTGCACGAGGGGCACGCTTTATCTAAAGCTAATAAACCAACATCCCCAAAGCCTGTTTAAAGCAGGTTTTCATAATCACGAAAATAAACTACAATCAGGACAATAAGACAGACAGATGGAGTCCTGAGGCATTTATCTGCTTTAAACATTTTCCCTTAGAAGCTACCAACTTATCATGAGCTTGTCAACACAGTGACACCATTCTTTCAAATGAAACGCTAATGCGCTGATCTGAGCGCACAGCGCCGGTATCTGTTCATAAAATCTGAGGGTTGATCAAAAGGTTTGCAACATCCAGTTCAGTGTATACCTTGGAAAATAAGTGGAAATCATCACAAGTATTCACATAACAAGGGTACAAACACAGTGGTTCTGCTTCTAATGTGAAGCAGTGTGACAAAGCTAAGCAAATAACATCAAGAAGGGGGGGAACGACAGACAGGAATGAAGGTGAGATTAAAAAGAAGGAGGAAAGAGAAAACCAAAAGGAAAAGAAGGAAAACTTTGGAAAAAAAATCTACTCAAAGGAGGCAGAGATATCCCATGATGCAATGGGACAGGAAATGCCTACTGTGAGGAAAGGATGCCCCTCTGGACCCCATTAAGGGAATGCATGAAAGTAATCGCGACACCATGTTGCTTGGTCAACAAACGCAGGTTGATTGATGAAGACAAACGGTCAGGGTGATAGCCAGTTGTTAGCTTTCTCTGGGATGTGTCATTTTCAGCTAGCCTCTACTTCCAGCTAGAGAAAGGGATACAGGCTGTCAAGCCAGCCCCGGTTCGAAAGCCAGTCCTGTCACTCAAACTCACTCTAGGATGATTTTCAACACTTGTGCGAGGTGGCTAAAAAAGACTGTGGCTGAAGTGCTGAAAAAATAATACTTTTCAGGTGTAATGTTAGAAATTCAAACATCAATCATTCTTTGGAAAAATACAGAGAGAGAGAGGATTTGGTTGCAGCTCAGCTTTTATTGAAAATGACAGATATAACAGTTGTAAGACACTTTTTTAGCTTTTATTATTAAAACAAATTTGAATCATATCCCCAAATAATATCTCTCATATGAAACTTAACAACTAATTTCACAAACAAAATAAAGTTCCTTTCCAAGATTAGCATTTATATTGGAATTTCTTTTCAAGTGGAATAGTTATGAATTCTTTGCATGAATCAGACATAAATTATATTTTGAATTAAAAGAATGTTCTTGTTTTTCTTTATAATGAAGATAATATGGCAATTAAAACCTGTAGGAGAAATTAAGATATTGTCATATTTCACAAGTGATGGTTTCTGTTCATTTATGATGCATTAAAAGAGTTCTGTATCCATCTCAAGTACTTTCTTTATGTTGATGATTCATAGTTCTGCTCTAAATGTGCATATCGTTTCTTTTGGCTGAAGCTGAAAAAGCATCAGCCTCTTAGTTTGTAGGCTGTTTTTTTAAAAATCTATTGAAAGTGAGGAATAGAAAATATATTGAGCAGAGGATTGGATAACATTTTGCCTCAACAACATAAAACACCTCAAGATATTATGGAATCAGCTTCAGTTAGATGTACGCTGCAAATTATCTTCAAGGTTATGTAAATGCATATTGCTCTGTTTGCCAAGGAGCA